TTGGGATTTCTGCCCTGCTGTGAGAGGAAAGCAGGTGAAGCTGCAGAGTTTTCTCCGTGCAGCTCCCTGAGCTGATCCAGGATGTGTCCATGTGCTTCCTGCTGCTCCCAGGGGAAAAGCAGCAGCTGCTGTGGGATTTGCTGTGTGCCTGTGAAATGGGAATTGTTCTTTGGTTTGGTTTTCAGCCCTGCTCTGGAGGAAGAGGCCCAGCCCCTCGTGCTGCTCTGTGACTCCCCTTTTTTTATCTCGGATTTCCTTGGCTTGCTCCACTTACACTCAATCATCTTAAGGTCTTTTTCAACATAAAGAATTTTGTGATCTAACAGGTGGAGTCCTGGCTGTCCCTAAAAAAGCCAATCCTACATGATTTGTAGGAGTGGGATAGAGAGCCAGGAGGCTTTCACCAAACACAGCTCCCCCAGCCCTGCTTTGACCAGCAGGGACCAGCACATCCCAGTTCCTGCTGGGAGCTGGGAAAAGGGACCAGGATCCCACCCAGGGTCACTCTGGGATCACAGATTTTGCTCTCCACAAGATGTCACAGCTCTGGTTGGGTTGCTCCTGCTGCTGTCACCTCCCCAAGAGATGTTCCTCCCCCATCTCCTTAAATCCTGTGTTTACAACAGATTGGTAAAAATAAAAATGGCCAAAAAAGGAGAGTTGGCACTGATTAAATTTAGAGACCAGATCCTGGGCATCCCCTCGCTGTCTAGGTGAGTTTTGGAAACGAGAAGAAAAGCTGTGAAAGGGGGTTTTATACAAAGGCTTGAGCATCCTCAGTGCCACCAGAGCTCTTCTGGAGAGACAGAAACAGCAGGACCAAGTGGGAGGCTGGAATGAGGAGGGGAGAGGATTGTGCATGAATTAGCATGGAGAAAATATGCAAATTCTTGGGTAGAGCGAGGCTCTCACGGCATTCAAAGGAGCTGCAGCTATTCTTGTCCTTCAGCTGCTTTTTGTCCTGCATCTTCTCCCAGCCAGGCTGGATTTGACTTGGGTTTATTTTTATTAATTCTCAAGCAAAGAGTAGAATTGATCTGACCAACAGCTCTGGGGAAAGAAAGAAAGAAAAAAAAAACAACACAAAAAACCCTCTCATTTCTTCCTGTGAGAAAAAGCAAGTGAGCTGGAGGTGGCTCTGGCAGTTCAGCACCACCTGTAAATTAATCCCCAGAATGCCCAGAGAAGCTGAGGCAGTGCAAGTCAAACGTGTCCCCTCTCTTCACACCTTGCCCAGGAGCTGTGCCTCTGCAAATTCCCTGCTCTGGCTTTCCAGCCAGACAATTCCCACTTCTTTTAATCTCTATTTTTAACAGGACAGCTCAGTGCTGCGTGTGTCACTTGGCACCACGAGCCCAGATTCCCTCTGCCACGAGCAGAAGCAAGGATTTATCATAATTATCCATCAGTTACTGTATCCCTGCATAAGCTGGACTTGCCTTCATTTTTCTTTTCTTCCCACGTGCTTTTCTTTAAGTCGAGAGCAACCTTTGAGGCCAAGCTGGGCTGATGTTGCCAACATCTGTCAGGGGTTGTTCAGGCAGGGCTGCTCTCCTGCCATTGTGCAGTGACCCAAAACCAGTCTTAAAAAATAATTAACTCTTAATTCATCCTCCCCTCAGCACTTCCAGCTCTGGGGAATCCAATCCCTTTTCACATCAAGGGGATCTTCAGCATCTTCTCTGGAAGGGCTGGATTTGGGGCTCTTGCACTGAAAACCCTTTTTGCTTTTGAACTGAGAGCTGGAGGAGTTCAGTGAGCTGCACTTTGATTAATGGCACCTATTGCCACTTCATTTATCCCTTGTCACTTCTCTGCTTGCAGATTTTCCCCATCCTGGGCCGTGATGGCAGCAAAGTGATTTTTCTGCAGAGGCACAAACCCGGTGCCTCCACAGCCCCTTCCCTGCTCCTAGCTCAACCAAAACCTCCCAATTCCCTCTTAGGGCTTTCCTCAAAGAGCCCTGAGCAAAAACAAACACCCCAAAGAAATCCAAGACACCAAAAGCCTGCAGGAAGCAGCTGCTGCCCTCTCTCAGAGAGGAGCCAGAGTGCTCGTTCCTGCAGAGGGAACGAGGGGAGCGCTGAAATTACATCTTGTAAAGCACAGGCTGTCACACTCAGAGCACCCCTGCAACTGCTGCTGCACAGAGCCAGCCCTGGGACACCGTGTTCTCATCCTGCCTAATTATTAATATGTTAATTTGACAATGAGACGTTGTTCTTTGAGGAAAATTTCCTGTGCTGCGCTTGGGTTCTTCATTTTGTTATTTTTTTTATTTTTATTTTTTTAATTTTATTTTCCGGCTGCTGCTCAGCTGGCAGATTTTTTTTGTTTTCTGTGTTTTCTCAGCTCGGGCAGAGAAGAACCTGAGGGATCTTTTTGTCACATCCCTGGAAGTGTCCAAGGCCAGGTTGGATGGGGTTTGGAAGCTGGGATAGTCAAGGTGTCCCTCCAACCCAAACCATTCCAGGATTCTCTGATTCCATGAACATTCCAAGGTTCCAAGAGAGCACCGAGTCAGCAGAGCATCGTGCTGGTGCTGATTATTTGGGAACATCCCACAACCAAGCCCCTCCTGGAGGTGGATGCTGCCCCAGGGATGAGCATTCCCAAGGTTGTGACATTTCCTGGGGATCCAGAGGGAAAAAAAAAAAATGCCCTGACTGTGCCTTTGTAAGTTTAAAACTTCAGCTGAGCAGGGACCAGGAGCTGCTGGGGGTCTGCCAGAGGTGCTCTCACACATCCCAGGTGTGCTGAAGAGTCTGATCTCTTCAGGATTGTGGCACAAATTCACATCCAAAGGTTTCCTGGGGGATTCCAGATGGAAAATTGGGCTGGGAAATCGCCTCCCTTCAGCCTCCACCTCCCCCAGAGCTGAAGGCTGGACCCCACCTGCTTCCAGCATGATGCTGAAGTTCAGGAGGGAGCAACAGCCACTAAAAAAAAAAAAAAAAATTAAAAAACACCCCAAATTCCCTTTTTACGATTTTCCCTTCAAGCAGGTTGATCCGAGACCCTGTTAAAATGGAAATCAAAAAACCTGCCAGACTCAAAACTTTAATTAAGACACACAACAGGGAGAGAGGGTGGAAGGAAGGAGGGGAGCAGCCATTCAGGAATTATCTGCTCCACGAGGCAGCATTTGTGGCTTCCACACACATCCATAATTTTTTGGGGGGCGGGGAAAAGCAAGAAATTCAATCCAACCCCACAGGAAGTTTGTCCACCACCACGGATTTAATTTCCCAACTTGAATCAGGCAAAGATTAACCTTGCTGAAGGGCACCAGTGGAGCGGGGAGGAATGTACAAATTAATCCCTGCTATGAGTTTCTTCAGGAGGAAACACTGAGCAGGATTAAATATTTATTGTATATAAATATTCTTTCCCACCTCCCCTATTTCCTCTCCTCATCTGCATTTCAGGCTCCCTCCAGCAAAGCCAGTTTGCCCAGCAAGAGTACAAGGGTTTGTTTTTCCTCCTGGATGAGGAGGAAGATTTGAGGAATAATTCATTTACCACCTTGATTCTTCCCTCCCCTCCCCTCCCAAGATTGATACCGTGGCACTTAAAGGGAAGAAAATCAAGTTGTGCTGATCTATGACCAGACACTATTTATTCTCATAGAACCTCATCTGCAATTTTCTTCAGCATCCTCAGAATTAAAATCCCTTTGCAATCTCCCCAGCTGGATAAAAATGTGTCATTTGCCTGCCTCCCCTCCCCAGATGTCTTTTCCCTGTGATCAGGGCACGCTGTTATCGAGGATGTGATTCTGCTTTACATTCACATGCTCGTGGGGTTTTTTGGACCATAAATAATGTTCCTGTGCAGCTCAGGCAGAATCATTCTGAGGGTTGTTTTTTTTTTTTTTATTTTTTATTTCTTATTCCTTTTCCTTCTCTCTTTCCCTTCCTATCTTTCTTTCTCCAGCTCTTGCAAGGGGTGATAAATTCATCATTTCTTCCCCTGTAGCAATGTGGAGCCCATTCCTTCACACCTGGGATTTAGGCTCGAGGGTAACCCTGCAAACAGCAAAAAATTCCCTTTTTTGTGGATCCTGGGCTTCCTGGGAGGAACAATCCAGGCTGGACCAGAGGATGGCTCAGCACTTTAATCCTAGAAAGCAGCAGAAGGACCCAGTGTCCCTGTGTTGTCCCCAGCTGGGGACAGCCTGGTCCATGCTGGGGGCATTTTGGAGCAGATGAAGATGAAAGCTGGTTTTTTTTTAGAGATGATTGTGTTTTCCATGGATATTCCTCCTTGATGGGATGATGGGATTTGGGCTGGCCTGGATTCTCTGGATCCTCCTGGAGCAGAGGAGACAGCAAGGCTGGCTCGCTGCAAAACATTTCTTTTTAGTTTTTTTTTTTTGTTTGTTTGTTTGTTTTTTTTTGTCTGATTAGAAATAGAAAAACATCTGAGAGTAGCTGGAGATGAACCACCCCAGCAGGTCCTTG